GTAGTCTAATTAACAGAATTGAGTACTCGTGGTAGTCGCGGCATCGAGCTGTAGTATTGATAACAGAAAAGTACCTAACTTTTTGTCACCAATATATTTATTAATTATATATATATATTTATTGCAGTAAAAAAGGCATAATACTGGTAAAAATTAACAATACTTAACTGGATATTACATTAAAATACATATAGCTTAAACCAACATAGTTCATCCAATTGCATATTTATCATACACAATACATTTAAAATAAAAGTATATATTTCAACTAGATTTATGATATATTTACTGCAGTATACACCTTGCACCTACCTAACCCAACAAGTAAACTGGATAATTTACCTACTATTTAAATAAATAATATAAATGTTTATTATTTTTCAAAAAACAATCTTGTAAACCTTGCAAATAAATATGTATAAATAAAAAAAGCGGGCAAGTGGATGTCGCTCTGCTGTATTTTATTGTATTAAACTTGAATCGAATGATATAATATCATTGTATAAGAAAAACGTTTCTAAGCAGAGAAGGTAGTATATTTTGATATCAAAGCACCCTTTCTGGTATAAATTTTGTTAACAGATTAAAAAAAAAAAATAATACATATAATAATATATAATTTATTTGAATACAGTTAACTAACTTAAAACGGTTTTATTAAATTGTTTTAACTCATTAATGAATGAACATTTTGACGCTTTTCCTTTCCAACTGTACTGACAAGCTAACTGATAAAAATTTTTATATGGTTGTGCATTGTTAACTGCATCTTCATAGTCACTTCCTCCCAATCTCTTGAGATCATTCACCTACAAAATGTGTTATAAAAAATTCCAATATGTGTAATATAAATAATGCTATAAATTGAAGCATAAATGTCAACCTCTAATTAAATATGAAAGGTAACATACTAACATAATAGTAAGTAGCATCAGTAGTGCTAGTATAGTAATAGTATAGTATAATTCCAAATTATCATTTTTATATTCCAACCATGCCAAATAATAGTCATATAAATTTGTTTATAACTAAATAACAATTAAGAACTTATTACTGTTTGACAATTATGCAATATTAAAATTAACCAATAAAGTTAAATATGCAGGTTCATTTATATTATTTTCAGCTGCTTTAAATTGACCATCCGTCAAATATGGAAGATCTGTATCAAAATTAAGAGTACTACTGACCACAGGTTCTGTACCATTCAAACGAACATTAGAAAATTTATTTTGCTGTAATACATGCTCTTTAACCTCAGCAATTTCTTCTCGTACTTGTATCATTTCGGAATTGATGTTTGAAAGTATTTTGTATACTTCTTTAGCAGTAAAAACTAACGAGTAGCTGACATTTGTTAAAAATGAAGCAGTTATATCAATATTATTTAATAATTACCTTTCTCGGATGACTTATGTTTATTAATTTCAGTTTGGCACATGTTTGAACTTTGAACTTCTGTAACAGTTGCAAATGTACCAACCAGGTACAATTGATACAATAACTAAGTCATGTAAATGTAATATTAAATTTAGTTTAAAAAAAAATACTCTGCAGGTATACCTATCTGGTGGTATGTTATAGTATTATTAGTTATCAGTGTTATATACTTTTTGTTTTAAATCGATTGAGTACTTAATTAAAACAACACAATATTAAAATGAATTAACATTATTTTATTTGTGACAACTAATTTCATAAGAACATCACAATGTATCACACTATCACCAGATACATTGTGATACAACGATTACATAATAATAATAGTAATAGTCTTGACTGATAAAAGTTAGTAGTAAGACATATAGATAACAGATAGATGTTAACAACAAATATAATATTATGTTACAGAAAGGTATACATCTCTTTTTTTTTTTTTTTAATTATATAAATGCATTTTAAATCAAATGAATTATTCAAATTTAACAATTGACAATAAGTGACAAAACAATAACATGAGTTAACCAATTATATATATCTTTTAACCGATAATGTCGATAATCCGATAGTTTCGGAAAGTATCGACGTATCGATTGTATTCAATACATAGGATGATTCTACAACTTTTGTTTTTTGATAGCAATTAATTTGCTTTAAGAAGTGTGAAAAAATTGCACTGAATATGTTGGTATGGCCCAGTATCCTGGGGACATATTATGTAGATAAAAGAGCCAAGATAGCTAAGTAACAGAAAAGATACGTGTAGCATAATATATGTAATTGTGAATCCTATTTTTCATTATACATTATATTAGGTATATTTGTTATTGGTAAATTGTAGGAAATGTATTTAAAAAGTATAAAAAATATTAAGTACTAATACTGACTCAATATTTGATTTTAAATACATATCACAGATTTAATTTTATTTATGGCGTTCCAAAGAAAATGTTTTGGAAAAAAATATGTGCAAATACACTCCCTAAAAATTATAAAAGTTACCTAATTGTAATGGTTTGTGTTCACAGTACCCATTAGAAAAATCAACAGTAAAGAAGACAATATGGAACCATTTAGAGCAAAAAAAGAAATATTATACAGAAATATTAAACTGGAGAATATTGATGATCAAACTATTAAAGAAGAACTCATCAATGAACCAGAATATCACAATGATCACCAATTATTAGATGAAAGGTATAAATTAAATTTACAACACATTGAAATATTAAATTTGATGATGCAATTTTTATTTTTATTATAATTTTTTTTAAACATGTGGCTTAACCTTTAAAGAGATAGTTAATAAAAAATAATAAATAAAAAGGTTTGAATTTAATGATATAAAATATTTATACCTTTTCAGAAAATAATTCTGTGTTGACAACCTGGCAGCTTATTAGCTTTTTTACCAAGTACCTATATTTTATTATATTATTACTAGAGTTCGGATTTATATGCATTTGCATATTTGTTCTGGTTGATTGTATGATATCCTATACTATCTCTATTAAAGGTGTTTATTTTCCTATTCATAGAACAGTAACTATCCAACCTGGATTAATTTTTCAAATAAAACATTGCATCTGATATATAATCTTACATTTCAAGTCCATATAACGGAAAACGGTAATATTATTTTTGATTTAATCCCTGCTGTAACTAGTTTTAAGTCGTCATAATTTTACATAATAATAGTGTTAATACCTATAGTTATTTGAATTTAAATATGATTAGGAAGGTAGAAACTAAACATAACAGTTATTAAAACAATACATTGTTTATACATTTTTATACAATATTATGAATTACTATTTGAATTTAAGTAGGTATAAGTAAAGAGGAAAGAAACAGAACATAACAGTTATTGACACAAAACATTAGTTAAATATTTTTATACATTATGAAACTATTGAAATTATGAATATTGAAATTATAATAAATACAAAATTGAATAAACTTATATTTAGGGATTTTTGCCAAATACAGTATTCATTTTACTGTCAATGATATTAGTATTGACCTTAAAGGGAGTATTGTAGATTTGACATGGAACATAAATGGATGTTTTCATATTATAAAATAACATCCAAATGTTTTTTGTGTATAATCAATTTAAATTTAATATCTATAACTCTTTAAATAGTTTAGTTCAAGGTTTAATTGTAAGAAATAATATAGGCTTATTGAAAGTAAAAATTTGATTAGGGAGTTTAAAGTGGTTTCAAGATTCCTATAGCAAGGACGGAAACCAAAAACAATTTGGTGGTTTTGGTTTTTATAACCGGTTTTCTACTTCTTATGTTTTGGTCCGGTTAATCATTCATATATAGGTTTTTAAAATAAAAAAATTTAAGTATTTTTAATACAATACCTTTTCATTTGGGTTCATACTTAAATAATGATTTTACACAACTTTTTCATCTAGATACAAAGAATTCAAATATCAAGAAAATTCTTAAGCCTTATAAGTTATAACTAAGACTTAAATAGCCTTAAACTTATTATTTACTAATCAATAACAATTAACAATTAGACTGGAAATTTCATCAAGACACTATACAATTGTAATGTGTTACTTAAGCCTTGCTAGTTTTATTACTTTTAACTTTTAAGTTTCATTAAAATACAATTATAAAACCATAACCTTTATAACTATAAAATATATTAAAAATATAATATTATATAATATAATATTTAACTATATCAAAATTGTATATTGATTATAACAACACAAGAAAATAACATTCTACTTTTCATTACTCATATTATTTTATAATATATTTTATAATGTTATAGGTATTATACTATTATGCATACATTTTAAGTAAATTAAATTTTTATTTTTAGTATTTTACTAAATTACTAGATCATTCATTGTTCAAGTACATTTATCCCTAATTTTGACCTTAAATCATTCAAAATAAACTTTAATGATGAAAACCATCTTTCTACAGACACATATAACAAGTAACAATTTTATAAAGTTAATACAGTTCATAGTTTATAGTTTATACAAAATAACATCTTACTACCTGGGTGGTTGGTAACTACTGCCATTAATATTTTTGAAAGCTGATATAGCTCTGGCATTTAATTTTTATTTATTTTTCCAAAGAGTTATTATATTTTCACTATATGGCATTTTGGTTGAATTTTCAACAGTATTAAGAATAGTTCTAATGGGAGTAGCTCTACTATAAATTTTGTTTGTTGTGAAAGAAATTGATTCTGGGAATTCTTGTGAATTTGAAAGAGTCCAAAAAATCCTGAAATTCATCATCTACCTATTCTTTTTTTACCCATATGTATTAGAGTTATCACTGTCATGCTCTGTTTTAACTGTAGAGGTTGGGACACAATTTTTTCAATGATTCAACAACTCCCATGCTTTAATTAAATGAGCTACTGCTCTTGATTTAGATTCTTCTGACATCAAATGTTGGTAGCGAAGATCAAGATATAATGCTACAGAAAATTAATTTTGTGAAAATTAAAAACATATTAGTTATTAAACACAATATAAAAGTAAAAATATAAACTATAAATCAAATTAAATATTACTATACCAGATACAAACACCGGATTATGAAAAATACTGTCTTAACGATAGTTTATGTTTGTGAGCAATTTTTTTGACAATGAAGTATTTAATTTTTTCTATTTCATTTGTGTGTTAAGCCAAATCCCAAAGCAGTCACCAGGATTTAAGTCATATTTCTACTTTTGAATTGTAGCTGTTTTAACTGTCTCGAAATCTTTAACCTTTTATTTATTTTGAATTAAAATATGTAAGTAGTATAGATGTACCATTCCTGGCGCACCTCATTTAATATTAGTAAAAATCACAAAGAAAACAATGTGCTAAAAGATCAGAAAATCGAAATGCAATAATAATTAAAATATTTTCCGCAAAACTTAATTATTAATAATGTTATAAATTATTTAGAGGGTGGTCACACTGACCCCCCAATAAATCCAAGTAGGTACTCTCACAACAATTGTAGAAGTAGTAGCCAACGGGCAGTGTAAGACGCAGTACGTCCGTGTAATTTAAAACTGTTGTAATTTTAGTAATTTGTTGATTGTTAATGTTTTGTTACTCGAAGAGTCAATGTTAAAATAAAGTGTTTAAACAAACGTTTAAAACGTGTTGTGTTCGATGATTTCAATCTAACAGTGGTCTTTAACTTCTAGAACTTGACGTAGGCACTCGTTGCCGCGAAGCTATCATTACGGCCAACCAAATGTATATTTGCTGCGAAAAGTATAGAATGTCTGGGCTTCGAATTATCAGCTGATGGAGTACGTCCCGGAGTAGTGAAACTGAGGGCAATTGAAGAGTTCCCAAAACCCAAAAACGAACATGAAGTTCGTCGCTTCATGGGTCTAGCTAGTTTCTTTCGACGCTTCGTACCGAAATTTGCAGAAAAGGCACGACCAATTACTGAACTGACAAGGAAGGAAACAAAGTTCAAATGGGGACCGGAACAACAGAGTGCATTTGAACAGATTAAGTTAGATTTACTTAGTGAACCAGTACTGAAATTGTTTGATGCTGCCAGGCCGACTGAGTTACATACAGATGCATCTTGTAACGGACAAGCAGACATGCTGTTGCAGAGAGACGAGTCTGGAGAGCTACGTCTAGTGCACTACTACAGTAAAAAAGCCAGTGAGACGGAACGTCGCTACCACTCAAGTAAGCTGGAGCTCATGGCGATCGTGTGGGCCCTTGACAGGATGCGCTCTTGGCTAATTGGGGTACACGTCATTATCATTACTGATTGTCAAGCACTTGTCTACATGAATAGTCTTAAGTCGACCAACTCTCAGATAACTCGTTGGTTTGATCTGATCCAAGAATTTGACGTGGAGGTGAGACATCGTGCCGGGACAGCTATGTCACATGTGGACGTTCTCAGTCGAGCCCCTACTGAAGACAGCTCAGATACATTGGACGACCTGATCACTGAACGATTGGAAGTATGTGTAGCTGTAACTGAAGAAGAGTATGTCAAAGGGATGCAGTACAGTGATCCAGAACTACGAGAGATCATTGAATCTCTAAAACAGGCAACAGCTAGTAAAATAACAACCCAAAATTATAAATTAATTAATGGTTTATTGTATAGATTGGTGCAGTCAGCAACAGGACCCCGAAAGCTCTGGATGGTTCCTAAGAGAATGAGGAAAAGTCTAGTGGTCAAATTCCACGACCTCAGCGAGCACTTTGCCGTCGAACGCGTTGACCTATGGACTACCTAAGCGGATCATCACAGACCGAGGAACAGCTTTCCAGTCAGAATGTTTCAACCAGTATTGTGAAACCAATGGTATAGAACACCATGCGGTATCAGTACGCCACCCCCGTGCAAATGGTCAGGTAGAGCGGGTTAATTCTACACTATTAGGAGCAATTACCACCCAAATGGGCGATGAAGCCACCTGGGATAAAAACCTTAGTGAGTTAGAATTGAACTTGAACACCGCACCGAACCAAACCACTGGAGTAAGTCCATTCTTTGCTGTATATGGTTATGATGCACTTAAAACAGATGGGCTACTCGATACACTGACAAACACAACTCCTGTATACCAGCAACCAGCAACTACACAGCAGAAGTTGCGCGAGGACATTGCAGAAAAACAGGCAACATGGAAATTGAGACATGACCAGCACCGTAAACATATGTCACTGGAACTGGGAGAAATAGTGTACCTTAGAAGACCACCAGTGTCGACTGGAAGCTCAACAAAACTACAACCAAAGTTCAGAGGACCGATGGTCGTGACAGCAGTGAACGCTGGAGATACATACAAACTGGCGGACCTACACCACACAGGAGGGCATTTGTATGCTACAACTGCTCATGTTAGTGCCTTGAAGCGTTTTTCTGAAAAGGATGAACAATCAGAGGAGAGTGACGCTGAACAGGATGGGACAGTGAGTACTGACCAAGAAATTGAACAGGACACAGAGGTGCAACATCTAGGAACCCAGACTTCAACCCCTGATGAAGAAACACCAACGCGACCAAAGCGAGTCCGCAAGAGACCAGCTCATCTAAGGGATTATATTTAGTTAATTAAACCTACTTAACAAATATATCCTGTATTTTTTTTTATTTTTTTATTATTAAAAACATGTTCTTTTTTTTATATCTTATGTTAATATGTTAAACTAATATTTTAAACTATGTTAAATAATTAGTGATAGCTAACGAAAGTTGGGCCGGGGCGTCCAACAAAGTCGGATGGCCGAATGTTATAAATTATGTAGAGGGTGGTCACACTGATTATTATCTCTCTTGATATTCTTGGTCTTATACCATTGTTTTGATGACGAATAGACTGCAAATGTTTAGACCAACTGTTGTATTTAAATGTTAACTTACAAATATCACAAGTTTTATCTGTTTTTGGTATTCTCTCTTGTCTTGTTCT